AACAGTTCGCAGAATCCCCTCACTGATTACACTGTAAATGATAATCTACCTTAACCAAAATCAAAGTAGACTATCACTCACCCACACCAGATGGAAAACTCTACAGACTGTCGGTTCACACCCCATCACAAGCCATATATATATATATATATATATATATATTAAGGGCACGGTCCCCACCCCAGGTAATTCAGAATGATTTTATTGAATTTATTCTGGTCATCTGATTTTATCTGGATTAGAATTTTGGGGTCTGTATTTCAACAGTTCGTGGGTGTACCAACTGAGCAAGGCACTTCCGGCCAAACCCATCCCCCAAAAATTGTTTCTTTTGATTTTTTTTTTTGTGCTGAAAAAAAAGAAGGAAAAAAAAAAAAGACGGCGAGTGTGGGGTGAAGCCCCACTAGAAAAGAGGATTTTATTTACCAAACCAATGCCTGCAGCCACTCAGCCATTATGATTATGATGGTAGTTCGAACACATTAGATACTAACGCACGGTATAGAACACGCAGGCGATAGCACACAGTGCGAGAGAACACAGTCACCGTGGTGACAGTAGACAAAATGACGAAGAAGACAAAATGACGAAGAAAACCCCTTTCAAATCCCACTCGCCATGCCTCTCGGGGGTGGAAAAGGGGATGTGAACCCCCGACTTCTGGCAAATTTGTCCTTTGTACATATGTAGTGGGAGCAGCGAAGTGTGATTTTTTAAGGGAAGAAAAAAGAATAAAAGTGTGTTTTTTTTTGGGATTTTTCGGCAATATTCTGAGTTTTGGGTGTTCTATGATATTCCAACCTACAAGGCCAGTCCCTTGAAGACCCCCCCCCAAAAAAAATTGGGCCCGTGGGCCTGTCCCACTACCGTCTTCACCCGAAAATAATGCCCGGGCGTTGTGTACGAATATTACGTTACGCCCGCCGGGCGTTATATTCAGTAAATTTACGGTAATTTTGGTGAGGCCCCAAAATGCCGGAAAAATAAAAATAAAAAATTGTGTTAAAAAAAAAAAAAAAAAGTTGATTGCTATGCGACCAACTTTTGGCTGAGGGTCACTTCAGAATTCCTTGTAAAGAATATAAAATCGAAAAAAAAAAAAAAAACGAAAAATCAAGCGAAAATATACCCCTTCGAAGGCAAAACCCCATTCAACCCTCTTCAAAACCCATGTATACCCCCTTCCCCGTCCTTTAAAACCCATGTATACTACTTCTTCAAGGCACTCTGCCCATGGATATCGTAGTCAAAGAAATTGGCGAACAATCACAAAAAAAAACAACAAAAAAGTACAAAAACAAATGCCTCAATTGACGCCCAGGCGTTCTATTCGAATATAACTCCAAGGCGTTTTATTCGAGGGGGCGTTCTATTTGAAAAAAAAAGTGAGTAAAAACGAAAATCTCATCTTTTTAGGGTAAGTTGAATATAACGCCCGGGCGTTATTTTCGGGTGAAGACGGTAGTAAATAAGATTGCACTTTGTGCACATTAGTTTTGTCTTTTGAAGTTATGTTGTGGGAGCAGCAAAATGCGATTTTGGGGATTTTTGGGCATAATTGGTCTCTGATCATCAATTTTTTAACAATATGATCATCAATTACAGAGTCTCAAATTGTTCTGTATAAAAAAAAAGAAAAAAGAAAAAAAAGAGCTCTGTAAAATTTTCATAAGGGACGTTGGGCCTGGTTCCCAGGGGCGAGGTCCCACGAGCAAAGAGAGGACTGGATTGGATCCCTTTGGCCGCGTTTGTGGGCAAGTGCAGAAATCGAGATTGAACTCCTTTTCTGCATCTCTGCCAAAAAAACGCCCAGATTCAGGATCTCAATCCAATCCCCTTTGCTAATGGGACCATGCTCCAGGACGTGGTGCTCCTCACGATTAGATGGGAGCATATTTCCCAAAAAAGAAAAAAAAGAAAAAAAAAGAAAAAAACAAGTACATGACCAGTCTCAAAGACCGAAACATGGGGCACTACCGTCTGCACCGTATAGAACGGCCCCTCATTATAGCTGTACTTGGCGTATCTTTCAGTCTAAATACAGCTATGATGTTCGGGTGAAGCTGGTAGGCCTATTTGCAAGGAATAGGCTATGTACAAAACTGACAAAATTAATTTATATCCAGTTATTGGATTAAGTGCCTGAATCTGGATGTGTTTTATGCCGAGATGCAGACAAGCAGATCAATGGCACAAAACTGACAAAATTAATGTATATCCAGTTTTTGGATTAAGTGCCTGAATCGGGATGTGTTTTATGCCGAGATGCAGACAAGCAGATCAATGGCACTTCTCTGCACCTCTCCAGAAAGACGTCCAGATTCAGGAGTGGAATCCAGTCCTCTTTGCTCGTGGGACAATGCACCTGTGCAAAGCTGTCCTCTGGTCGTTGGGACTCAAATGGCTCATGTCCCGAAGGACATCCGTTAACATTGGATCGATACAGAGAATGAAGATTACCATGGCCCCTTTACAACGATGACACGCATAAATCGAAAAATGGTCCCCCCCAAAAAAAAGGCTTCTGGTAAATAAAATTCTCAATGCCCAAATAAATAAATAAATGAATAAATAAATAAATAAATAATAATAATAATAATAATAATAATAATAATAACATATAGAGGCTGGATTCCGGCCTCGTTGGTTTATTAATTAGGGGAATCTCTAATTTTTCTTCCGGGGAAAAAAATGGAATCAGTTCTTATCCAAATCTAATGACATTGGGGGCTCTAGTTATTTGGGAACGACAACAAAAAAAAAAAGGAAAGCAGCCTGAGGGAGGAGCAATTGCAAAAATGGAGAAATGAATTCAAAATTTCAAATAGCCCAATACATTTCAATAATATGTTTTTTTTTTTTTTTCAAGAGATCAGAAAACTCTCAGTTTACCAAACACTTCTTTTTTTCACGCCTTTTTTTTTTTCAGGAAAAGAAAGTATTCTGGTGCAACGCGGATGTGAGTGTGAGCGTGCGTGGGTTGTGTGTGGTTTGGGTGGGGGAAGTAGATGGGAGGCACAGCTACAGACAAAATGCTCGGTCTTTTTGCGTTAGCTCCCCCCCGCCCCCCTCTCCCCACTGGAGGCCCCACCCTACTCCCTGACCACGGTCGATTAGGGAGGGGGGCAACAAGCATCCCCTTAATTGTGACAGGTAGAAAGCTATGCTTGCAGGGATCCCCTGTATAGCCTTAGGGGTAGTGGTAGGTAGATAATGAAAGGTGAAATAGAGAGAAGAATATAGCGAAGTTTTTTTTAAAAAAAAAGCCTTAGGGGTAGTGGTAGGTAGATAATGAAAGGTGAAATTGAGAGAAGAACATAGCGAAGTTAAAAAAAAAAAAAAAAAAAAAAAAAAAAAAAAAAAAAGGCCTTAGGGGTAGTGGTAGGTAGATAATGAGAGGTGAAATTGAGAAGAAAAAAAAAGAACAAAAAAAAGGTGAAATTGAGAGAAGAATATAGTACAATATACTAATATAGCGAAGTTTTTATTTAAAAAAAAAAAAAAGGCCCCTAACATTATGGTATGATGGTATCCATAAATTCCGTCAGGACTCGAACTCATGATCTGCTTCTCAACAGTTGCATATGTGCTGAAGCTCTTTTTTTTCGTTTTTTCTTTTTCTTTTTCTTTTTCTTTTCTAAGTTACATGTGTGTCCTACTAATTCCCGTTCTT